CACCCCCCAACGTTCTAGAGGGCGTCTATTCCTTTAAGAGAAATCAAGCATGGGGCGGGGTGGGGGGGGGTGCCGACAGGAGAGGTCTTGGAGCTTGGTTCCCTCCCTGCTTCTACTCCTACCAGTCTCCTCTACTCGTCGGACTCGCCTTCTCCTCTGTCTCCTTCTTTTCCTCTGTTTTTCTTTTCTTTTGCACAAAAGTTGAGCTGTGAATTTTCCGAGGTCGCCACAGCCTCCTTTCAACCCCGCCCCCCCAGCCTGTGATCTACCTAACTATAATTAAAGTGCGTTTTTTGTGGCATTAATAAAGAGTTATTTGTCTGCCGTTTCCACCGTCTTCACAAAGAGGACTTTCATAGGAGCGGTCGCTCGAGCCGCGAGTCCAATTTATACAAAAATTTTGTATTTTTAGCCCTGGGCTCTGTTTAGATGGCGCTCGGTGGAAACGGAGAGCCCTGTGGAGGTCCCCCGTAAAATCTGATAAATGACTGAAAAATAAGGCTTAGATTCAGAATGCTCCCATTAACCCCTTCGGCTATTCTTTACTCGAGGCGGATACTCCTGGTCTACCTCCCTCCTACTGGTCTATGGCAGCACCCATCCCAGCCCATGCTGTGGATGGCAGGGGACGCGGAGGCCCAGAGGCGTCCAAGAAAAGGTCAGGGGTCACTTGGGGAGCCGAGAAAGGTCCGGGGACCGGGGTGGGGCGGTGACAGACTTGGGTTCGGCAAATTGGTTCTAACCAAGCTGGAGCCATTACCCTTGAGAGTTACTTCCTAAAGTCCTGGCCAAAAGCGTAGACCACTGCTGCAGCGCACTTCGTAAGGATGCCGACCCAGAGGAGACGCTGGGCACTTCTTCACCTGGGGGTGACTCAGTTGGTCGAAGGGAACCCTATCCCGTTGCAGGAAGAGACCCCGAAAGCCCCCAACTCTGAGATAAAGACCACAGGGGATAGGAGCCTGAACTCCCCTCCCCGCTGCCGCTCGGCTGCCTCTGGGCCTGGGGCTTGGTGCTATGCGTGTCTGCGTGTACTGCACGCGTCTGTTAATTTCAAGCCAAGCTTTCGCACTCCTCAAACCACCGCTCCCTGAGGGTGTGCCCTCCTCCCGCCTCACCTTTCCCGTGCGCAGGTCCCTTTCGGGACATCCATCCTTGACCTAATCTGTAGTCACTGACCTAATCAGTAGTCACTGCACTGTGTACCAAAGCGCACAAACGCTCCCACCCCCCGCGGCGACCCCAGCGGACACCTCCCAAGGGGGGGTGGAGGGCGCGGGGCACTGAAGCGTGTCAATGTGCAAAAGTTATCCTCTAACACTCCACGAGGTTAATTCCAGGTTAATCTCCCGATTACCCACTTGGGTCTGGTCCCCGACGCGCCCCAGCCAGCGATCCACAGCCGCGTGGGGCTGGGTGGCGTCTAACATCAGGCACGCTCGCACTTTTTCACATCTCTCCAAGACCCGGCGCCCAAGTATCTCTCCCAGACCAAATGGCTCCCACCTTATAGGCACTACCCCCACTCCCAACACCACCACCACCCCAAAAGTCAAGAGCCCTAGAATCTCTGCCTTCTCGTTTTCCTTGGGTGACCTCCTCACTCCTCCCAGGCAACACAAACACACGCTTAGAGCGCAGGCGAGGGACCTGGGCAACTGTACCTGGCGCCGCCAGCTGAGCTCATGGTATGGGACGGATCTTACCGGCAATTCTAGCAGCCTCTCGCCTCCTCCTCCTCTCCTAGCCTCGACGTTCGGCCCCCAGCGACCCCGCCAAAGCTAAAGGGAGCTGGCGGCGGCTGGAGCCAGAGGCGTCAGGGAGAGAAGAGAGCGAGCCGCGGACCGGACGCCCCTCGGACTCGCGCCCAATCAGGACCCTCCAAGACACTCCTGCTCGAACGCCCGCGAGCCGAGCAAGCCCCTCGTGGGAATCAGCCCTTGCGAAGCTGCGCGCCGGGCGCCGGGGGCTCGGAGCGGCGCAGCCAGAGGACAGGGGAAGCCCCGGCGGCGCCCGCGGAGAGGAGGGAAGGGGCGGGGCGGGGAACCAGTGCCTTTGGGCTCCCAGCGCCTGGCGGCCGGCTGTGGGCTCGCTCGCTCGCTCGCTCGCACGCTGGAGAATAGCGGACCCGGGAGAGCGCGCCCTTACCTGTAGCAGCCAGTGGCCGGTCTCTCCGATGAGCGGGAAGCCCATGGAGCCCTTGGGGATGGGCAGTTTGCAGGTCTTGTCGCGAGTAGCAGCCCAGCGCAGCTGCCACAGCTGCTGAGACACGGCCAGCAGCAGCGTCACCGACACTAGGCACGCGGCGAGGGTGGCCAGTGCCGACACCAGGTCCAAGCCCTCAAAGAGCATGTTGGCGGCTGCTCGGGCGATTGGCTGCGCCGGCCGCGGCGGGGGAGGGGAGGGCCGGGCGGGAGGGGACCGGAGCGGCGGGGGAGGGGACGCGGTGGCCCGGGGGGTCCGGGCACCTCCAGCTGAAACAGAGAAAGAGGAAGGGGCCGAGGCCGGGGGCGTGGAAGCTGCGAGACGAGCAAAGAGAGGGAAAGGGAGAAAGAAAGGGGGGAAATGCCGAAAAGAAGAAAGAGGCGACACGAGGCTTCTCGGAGTGTGACTTTGTTTGTTTGTTTGTTTGTTTGTTTGTTCCTTTATAAAGGGCTTGGGGGCTGTTCAGGGGGCGGTGGGATGAAGCGGTGAATCAGGCTGGTGGGTTGGCTCTCCTGTAACCATCACACTCAGAAAACTTTGGAGAACTTTGTCCAGCGGGAGACTCTCTCCGAAGCCCCTTCCCCAAGCCCGCTGCGGGGGAAGGGGGAGTATAAAAAAAATTTTTTTTAAAGGAGAGGTCGGCGGGGTGGGGGAGGGTGTCAGAGAGCCAGTCAAGAGAAAGTGCAATCGGTTTGTCCAAAGTTTCCCCCCGAAATTCTTCAGTGAGAAAAATTCAGGGAAAAAAATTCCTCAATTCAAAAATTCCAACGAACCCAGCCACTTTGGGGGCGAGGGGGGAGGCTCCCCAGCTGAGGCGAGTGAAGAGGACCGAGCCCAGGCGGCGCGCCCGAGCCCGGAGCCGCCGCTGCAC